AGAATCGCTGCCCTTCTGGTAAAAATGGGTTCAGTATCTACTAGAACAATATGTCAGCTTTGGGTACCTTAAGTTGAGCCGGCGACTCAACAGGTCCATGCACAGGAAAAATAACAGCGGAGAAAGGTTATCAGCTTGGAGAATTCCTCGTTTTATTTTCTTCTCCATTACAGTTTCTCCATTGCTTTTCAGTCGACCATCTGGAAGTGATGCTTTTCAGAAATCTGCTGATCCACGATGGCACGTTAAGCCTTTCAATGCACTTGATCAGGTATCCTGATTAACTGAATCGACCGCGTTTTTAATGTCATACCACGTAGTGTAAAGCTGGTCCCCGTGCTCTTTGCAAACCGCCAGGTTCAACATTGCTTGTTCCTTTGCACCTTGAACCCAAGTAACAGTTCTTAATTCACTGCCTGCAAGCAGCTTCCTCATGGCAACATCTAACTGCATGACGCGTGCCACACATTTCGTTGTTAACTTGTAAAGGTTCGATATACAAGTTATTGGCCTTAAGTCGCTGCCGTTACTTGGGATATCTTCTGCAATCAGGTAGGTAGTACCTTTATAGAACCACGGATCCAGTTCCTCCCCAACCCAGACAAATCCTTCTTACTATATTGTACAGGTCTGGATGCAACGAGGTGCACTTCTTAATAAAGAAGGTATAAACTCCATCACGTCCTATCGCTTTCCAACTGGGGCAAGTAGGAGACTATCTTCCCAAATTCGGCTTCAGAAGGAAAACTATGACGCACTTTACTATCTGGAACGAATTCTTCCAGATATTCGTTGTGCTCGATTCATCATACTTTCCCATTCCGGAGTACCACATCGTACCACAAAAATCCCTGATTGCTCAGTCCTTACAATTGTGGCTTACGGGCTGTTCTTCGGTCAGACTTCTATAAAACCGTCTTCTGAGCAGCTCGAATCTGGCGTTTTGTATTTTGAATGCACATGGAGTCTCATAACTTTTTATTTTACTTTCGTAAACTCTCACTTGGTCTGTAAATATGCTTAACGCTTCTTGACAGACACACTTAAGAGCAAGTTGAGATTCAGCTCCCTCATACACTTCTTGGCCTCTTTTAAGTCTTTACCTTTCAGTTTTTTCATCAGCCAAAGTCTGATTTATGAGGGATTTGTGGAAATTCAACAAGCTCATCGTCTTTTCTATGCTTCCTTTCCACCCCGATGGCTTCTTCTCCTGCCTCCCCAGGTATATTGCCAACTTACATTGCTTCTTTACAAAATGTAAGTAGTTTGCCGTTGATTTGAATTATTAATCCCAACTGTTAGCATTTTTAAGTTTAAAATCATATTCATGTATTCTGTAATACAGCATCAGAAAATTTACATTGTTTACTGCACCATCTAGTAGACAGTTAAAATAATGGACATAGATTAAAATTTTTGGTTGTAATTTTTTATTTTCTAGTTCAAAAATCAGCTTCAGTATCACTGTAAATGATTAAAGAATTGCAAATAATAACTTGTCATGTATATCAGGTCGGTTTTTTCGGCCAAGTAATTTATAAGGGAATCCACAATTGTCATGATGCCGCATTCATTGTGAGTCATACACGACAATGATCATCTCAACTATACTATCAATTTAAGTGTAAGCACACTTTAAAAAGACATTTTATTGGCTTCTAATTAGTAATTTATATCAAAATCAGGTCAGTGCCTCTTAAACTGGTATCTTTATGGATACAATACTTCAAGAAACACTCCTGAAATTACTGCTAGCGCTCATATCTTGAAGATCGCACATTTTGATATATAAGCGATAATGTGATATATTCAAAATTATGAACTCAAGTTATTAGTGTATTTGCTACAATACACTATTGTGAGTTTAGCAGTATGTTCTGTTATCGCCATTCTTCAGAAAATAAGTATAACGTTGACTGTGTTTCATAAAATACTTTTTTTCCCCGTAGGGCGTGATAATTTTAAGAGCACAGCAAACCACATATCATCTTGTAGTTCCTCCAATATTTTGCCTCTTTAACTTAATAACAGTAACCGTGACAGTCGCTGGTACTACTCTTATTGACTTCTTAATAAAGGATATTTACAATTGCTTAGAAAAAGTGCAAAAAACAATCGATTGAAACATCTGGCACCATTCCTTGACCTGATCTACCAATATTTGTAGTTGAGGGATTTAATAAAACAAAAGCACTGCCACTTAACTAAGAAAATCTCGTTGAGAGTAAGACTACTTAAACGCTGTTAAAATTGATGACGAAAAGTCGATTACACTAGTTTGTTTCACTGATCATCCAACAAATATGGATTAGAAAAAGCGTATGATGCAGCCTTAAGTGGTACTACGTGCTATTTCGCAGTGATAGTTCAAGACTCGATTTGAAGCATTACTTATGGCTTGTATTTCATAGTAATTATCCCACTCTTTAAACTGCTAACTTAAGTATATGAATATTAGAGACGTAAAAGAGTAGGAAGATTAAGCGGTTAAATAAGATTAAATCTCTAATAAATGGTAGTCATGAAACATATTCACTATCATGAACAGAGCTGCGAAGTGACGCAGTTAAGCGCGAGATAATCGGTTATAATTTCATAGTGGTGTGTTCGTGGTTTGCATCAGCAGAAGACTAAAGTTGCTGGTTATGAATTAATGGACAGCGTAGGCGGTAGGAAAAGCAAAACTTTACATTAATTTAAACTCTGTTGCGATCCAACTAAAACTCATTTAACGAAAGATACCACCGTTACCAGCACAACAACAACTGCTATGACAGCACGCACCAAAATGTACAGTGGCTAATTTTAATGTTTCAGAGATAATCAGCAGTCTACATGTCTACACTAATCGTTATTATTCAAAGAGGTCAAGTGAGAGAAGGGTAGAGAATGAGTAGTGCAGAAACCACTCACTCCATACCATCAACTCAAAAATACTAGCAATGGTCGATATTGGTGCTCTGAGCCTTTGTGTCTTCAGAATGGTTCAATTGTCAGTCATTACATGATGCTTCCTAGCAGACCAGATTCTCTTTTTGCCTAGTCATAAACTGAATGCTATCGCAACCAAAGATGCGCCCATCTGCGCTTTATAATTGCTGCAAAATGACATATAGCTACAACGCTTGTTCTTTGAAACGAATGTAAGTGTTCATGTCCAAGTATGAAGAATATTTTAACCTGTGAAAGTCACAATTTTTTGAACGAAATACTTCAAGCAAATTCAGTTCACAATGAGAAAAAATTAATTAGTGGGTCTCAGCTCACATTTTTCCTTCGTTTGTATTGATTGGATAACAAACTACGAATTAATTGTTCAGGTTATTTGGCTCTCGTTGGCTGTACACAAATTTGTGTGAACTTGCCAGATGCTTGAATAACAAGGATTCTGATGCCACTGGTTCACTTTCTAATAGGAGCCGAAATTATAATGCGATTCCTGCTGTGCAGCAGTGTAAGATTGTTCCAATTAGACTCCACTATACATTTATGTTTGTTAGCTATATTGAACCAAAAAATTGAGTTATCTTGCTGTCAAACCTTTCAAACGTGACTATTCAAAATTACCAGGTAATCCGCTGTTAGAGTCGCTTGGATATCACCGATGCTGAAAATCGTAGCAACATTTGGCGACCCAATTTATACTCTTCCTCTTGCAGTCAAGTGTCTCTCATTCTCTCTAATTATCACGAATACATTAAGCTTTCTGGTACTGTCATCGTCAGTTATTAAGGTACGAATTCTTGAGAGCGCTGTTTCCAAATATTACATTAATTTATCTGTTGAAATGTACAATGATGCTTGCTGTTTTGAAATGTCACGGTTATTGTGTTGAGCTTTGTATTTGTATCATTTCTATACATTGCTAGTAGGTTTAGTTGTTGAGGCATACATTAGCAACTGCATCATCTTACGGTGTTGTTGTTCAATTATCGAACTGTATATTAAAAGCACTGCGTACAATAACACTATATTATTCTTACATATTTAGTCGTCAAGTTGTTAAGGTGTAGTCGTTTACTACAGACAAGCTTAGTACCATGTTTTAAATTATCACTCGCTCATTTGTCAAGATATACTAAAATAGGCTAAGTTCCGCTTATTGTCATTAGCTTAAGTTTTTATACATGGATAGTGTATCCCATACTTTTTCAAAGTGAATATTGTTAGACTTTTTTTTAAGAAGGTTCTTTTCACATGAACCACACCTTGCTTCTTGAAACCAAAAACAAGTATAAAAGAGAGACCAGTACTTACCTACACCATTTAATTAACCAGAAATAATCTGTATAAGCAACGTCTTGGATTACTGAATCACACCATGAACTAACCGTTTCAGCAATCAAGAAGAGCCACCGATTTGGCACGGAATTGAGGACGCAAACAAAATTCATCGTACATTCATCAATTTTTAAGAGTCGACCTTTACTATCTTAGCATTAAAGAGTGCAACCTTCAGGTTAGTTACCTACCTACACCACTAGATTAACCAGATATTAAGCACTGGCTCTCACATGTAATATGTCAGTGCACAAAAAGATCAGATGTCGTGAAGTCGTAACCAGAAGACAAATGCCAAACAATATCGAGATGCTGGTGCCAGTCCTTTAAAATGTGATCTGAATGCTCCAGAGAGAAACATAGATAAACCTCAGAGACCAGATGACCAACCCAGCAGATTTATCTTCTCTAGATCCTAGACCGGAACACCTCGTCTGCCTTTCATTTGTGAGAATTATTCTCCGGTTTCATGAATGTACTCTGTGCGCCACAATAATAGCGATAATGCATAGCTGATTTACTGGTTGTGTTTCGAATTCATATGATCGAGAAATATTTTAAAAATCTAATTAGCACAAACTAATAGTGTCATAGTCAAGTTACAACAAATCTGATGGCGTTAGGATGATTATATTCCTGCTTCTAATTTACCGAAGAGAACTGGCAGGATTTTGAGATAATAAATTGCTCTCCCATATTATGGATAACTAAATAATAAGAGCAATGATCCGGAAATACTAATTTCGTCTTATGAGGTCTAGGGTAACAGTTGTTATTCTTGAGCAATTAACAGATTAATTGCATTCTTGAAATTCTCACATATTAAATGATAAATACAAAGAGAAACAGCAACTGCAGTCTTAATTCAAAGAAGTCCTTGTCTTTTCAAATCCTCGAAAGTTCGTCTGTTGACAACATTTCCTGCAGAATCTTCGAATTCCTCGTCATGCTCTGGGTTCCATTTTAAAGATTCTTTCTGTCGTCGTATTTTTCCCCACAAGTCAACAGCATCCGATATCTTTGTTATATTGGCAAAATGTGCAGTATTTGGAATGCCGAGACAGCGCATACCATGAGAATGCCGCCACTCCTGGAGAAAATTAATGTTAAAATCTGAACTCAATATTTCTTTTACCAATAATTTTTATGAAATTATCTGTTAATGGTATGTAAATA